AAAAGCTCTTAGTAAAAACACTTGAACACCTAGGTATAGAAGGAACATACCTCAAAATAGTAAGCTCCATCTATGATAAACTCACAGCTAGCATATTGCTAAATGGACAGAAACTGGAAACATTTTCCCTGAAAACCAAAACAAGACAAGGTTGCCCACTCCCAACCCTCTTGTTCAACATTGTGTTGGAAGTCCTAGCTAGAGCAGTTAGACAAGAAAAGGAAATCAGGGGTATCCAAATACAAAAAAAGGAAGTCAAGTTATCCCTCTTTGCCGACGATATCCTATACCTCAAAAATCCAAGAGAATCTTTACCTGTTTGCACTGATAAAGGCCTTTAGCAAAGCCTCGGGGTACAAAATAAATGTGCAAAAGATGGTTGCATTCTTATACACCAACAAGCAGGCAGAAAACCAAACAAAATGCACAATTTCATTTACAATAGCCACAAAAAAAATGAAATACCTTGTCATCTTCCTAACCAGAGAGGTGAAAGACTTTACAATGAAAACTACAAAATACCGTTCAAAGAAATCCAAGAAGACACAAACAAATGGAAAAATGTTCCATGCTCACAGACAGGAAGAATCAACATTGTTAAGATGTCCATCCTACCAAAGACAATCTACAGATTCAGCACAATGCCCATTAAATTACCAACATCATTCTTCGCAGACCTGGAAATGACAATAGAGAAATTCACATGGAAACATGAACGACCACAAATAACCAAAACAATTCTTAGCAAAAGAAATAAAACAGGAGGTATCACAATTTCAAACTTTACCATAAGGCTACAGTTATCAAAACAGCCTGGTATTGATACAAGAACAGGCATACAGACCAATGGAACAGGATAGAAATTCCGGAAGTAAAATTTTAATTTCACAACCAACTCATCTTTGACAAAGCCTCCAACAACCACTGGGGAGAGGAGAACCTACTCAGTAAATGGTGCTGAGAAAACTGGCTGATCACATGCAGAAGACTGAAACAGGACCTCTACCTATCACCATACACAAAAATCAGCTCTAAATGGATCAGAGACCTAAACGTAAAACCTCAAACTATAAGAACCTTAGAAAATGCAGGAGACAAACTAATGAAAATTGGAACTGGCAATCAATTCCTGATCAAAACCCCAAGTGCCCATGCCATATGAGATAAAATAGACAAGTGGGACCTCATCAAACTGAAAAGCTTCTGCAAAGCAAAAGAAATCATCAAGAGAGCAGGGAGATAGGCCATAGAATGGGAAAAAATATTTGCCAACTGTATATCTAACAAAGGCCTAACTACCATCTAAGTTCTACAAGGAACTCAAATATGCCAAAAGGAAAAAAACAAACAGTCCTATTAAAAAGTGGGCAGGCTGGGCTCGGTGGCTCAGCCTGTAATCCCAGCACTTTGGGAGGCCGAGGTGAGTGGATTGCCTGAGCCCGTGGGTTCGAGACCTGCCTGGGCTACTTGGCGAGACCTCATCTCTAAAATAAATCAAAAATTAGCTGGGTGTGGTAGCGCATGCCTGTAGTTCCAGCTACTTGGAAGGCTGAGGCGGAAGGATCGCCGGAGCCCAGCAGGTCGAGGCTGCGGTGGCCGGGAGCGGCCACTGCACTCCAGTCTGGGTGACAGAGTGAGACTCCAACTCAAAAAAAAAAAAAAAAGTGGGCAAAAGACATGAATAGACATTTCTCAAAAGAAAATATACGGGCAGCCAACAGACACATGAAAAAGTACTCAGCCTCACTCATCATCAGAGAAATGCAAACCAAACCCACATTGAGATACCACCTAACCCCAGTAAGAGTGGCGATCATGAATAAAACAAACAACAACAGATGCTGGCAAGGATGCAGAGAAAGGAACACTTCTACACTGTTGGTGGGAATGCAAACTAGTGCAGCCTCTCTAGAAAACAGCGTGATTTCTGAAAGAACTAGAAATTGGCCTTCCATTTGACCCAGCAATCCCCCTATTGGGAATATATCCAGAGGAACTCAAATAATTCTACAAAAAGGATACCTGCATGTGCATGTTTACTGCAGTACTATTCACAACAGCAAAAACATGGAACCAACTGTGCTGCCCATCTGGACTGAATAAAAAAATGTGGCACATATACACAATGGAATATTATGCAGCCATAAAGAAGGACAAACATATGGACTTTGCAGCAACTTGGATGAACTCAGGAATCTATCACAGAAACAGAAAACTGAGTGCTATATGGTCTCACTCATAAGTGGACCTTGATCAATTATCATAATACTATAAGAATTGGCAGTAGTGGGATTGGCAGTAGTGGGAAACTGCTAGGGGAGGGGAGGCACACCTCATCAACAAGGGTACCTGCATAATGAACATTTGTATACATAACCCTGAGTTGTACCCCACATCTTTAAAAATTTTTTTTTAAAAGTCGGTTTTTCTAGGCCCAGATATTGAAGAAAAGCAAAAAATATATAGCTGTATCTCAAAAATAAGCCCAAAAAAATGTAAAAATTAAGCTGAAAGGTTGCCTTGCTATGTTGTATTGAGAGGACTCTAAACTTAGATAATAAGATAATACTTCCTCATTAAAACTTCAAGCTGCACTAATGATCACAAAATCTGCCACTTTTGTAAATGTTTTACTTCCTACTAATATAATTTAAAAAGTGACAACTGTATGAACTTCCCATCTAGGTCAAACTGAAGATTTTAGTATATGTGCTATATATTGAGGAAAAAAATATTTTTTACATGGTGGACATATTTCAGGTTTCATACTATACACACTCTAGATATATTACTAATCCAAACATCTAAAGTTTCACTAAAATTTCCATTTAGGCATTGGAAAGGGAAGCTGGAGATGGGTCAATCATTTGAAGATAGGTTTCCAGCACCTTTCTCCCCAAAACCACTTCAAAGCACTATTGTTTTTTTTTTAAGTAGAGGAAAAGGGAATCAGATTAGGAATTCAGCTATTGTTATAGCAAAGGCCAAAGCACTCCAAGTTCTGAAATGGGTGAATTAATTTCTAATTGAAGGAATACATGTCAATTTTCACCAAACAGACCTTCAAGGACCTAATCTGAGACAAACTTTAGGAATCATTTAGTTCAAACTCACACCTACGTAAGTCTCCTCCTAAAACATCACTAACAACTATTTAAACACTGACAGTGATAAGGACTTAGATGGTTCAAGCTGTTAGGAGGATCAATCTCCCTAATCTATAACTCAACTTCTTGGCCCTAGCTGTGCCTGACTATACCAGAAACTATACTTGGCTCCTTTCCTTCCATATAAAATCCCATCAAATATCTGTTTACAGTTATCTTCCCTTCCATCCCCCTCCTACTTTGTCTTCCCTTCTCCAGCCTAAAAAGTTCCATGTTTTGCAAATAATCTAGTGCTGCTTGCTCCAAAAGCTATGCTGATGCTCTGTCTCTAGAGTTAGTCTGTAAAAGTAGAAACATGTAGTTAGGAAAGTGAGTGATTACATAATTCTTTCTCCTTTCTTTCTACAGCTAAGACAGTCTTCCAAAAATATCATAGAAGAGGCTGACTCCAGCTCCATGTCTCTCATACTATACTCAACCAATGTACAGAAATCTCCCAACCAACAAAATCATACTGAAATAAAGAATACCCTTCTTCCTAAGTCTTTCAAGCATCTGATGGTCTTTAAACCAAGATTTGATACCTCACACCCATTATTATTGATGGTTATATATTTAAAAACAAACAAAAAAACAGCAAGTATTATCAAAGATGTGGAGAAACTGGAACCCTTGTACATTACTGGCAGGAATATAAAATGGTGATACTGCTATAGAAAAGTATGGTGATTCTTCGAATAATTAAACACAGACTTATTACATGATCCAGCAATTCCACTTCTAGGTATATGAATTGAAAGCAGGGACTCAATGGCAGGCGCGGTGGCTCAAGCCTGTAATCCCAGCACTTTGGGGAGGCCGAGGTGAGAGGACTGCCTGAGCCCACGGGTTCGAGAACAGCCTAGGCAGCTTGATGAGAACTCATCTCTATAATAAAAATTTTAAAAATTAGCCACATCTGTAGTTCTGGCTACTTTGAAGCAGAAGGATAGATCATCTAAGCTCAGCAGGTCGACACTGGGATGGCCTTGAGCATGCCACCGCACTCCAGACTAGGCAACGGAGTACGACTCCAACTCAAAAAAAAAAAAAAAGAAAAAAAGCAGAGACTCAAAAACAGGTATTTGTATACCCGTGTTCATAGCAGCATTATTTGCAACAGCCAAACAGTAGAAGCAACCCAAGTGTCATCAATAGATGAATCTATAAACAAAATATGGTATATGCATACAATAGTCTTATTTAGCCTTAAAGAAAATGTTGACACATGCTACAATATGGATGAAACTTGCAGATATTAAGCGAAAAAAGCCAGTCACAAAGGGCAAATGTATTTTCTTCTTACATGAGGTACTTAAGAGTAGTCAAACTCAGAGAGAGAAAACAGAACGGTGGTTGCCGGGGCTAGGAGGGATGAATGGGGAGCTACTACTTAATGGGTACAGAGTTTCAATTGGGGAAGATAAAAAAAGTTCTAGACATGGACGGTGGTAATGGTTGTACAACAATGTAAGTGTACTTAATACCCCTGAACTCTATACTGAAAAATGGTTAAACTGGTAACTTTTATGTTACGTATGTTTTACCACAACTTAAAAAGTTTTTTGAGAATGCCAGATACTGATTAGGTAACAAGTCCCTATATCTGATCTGTTTTTTCCAAGTTGTCTTTCACTAGCACTTTTCCTCCCTATAGAGCCAACTCCTCTGTTCCAGAAAAATACTCCCCTGAGAAGATTATTGCTCTAAATTTCCACTTAATTGTGTATGAAAAAAAATTTTTGATTCCTAATTATGGAAAATTGTTTCTGATTCATAACCTTTAATATACTTGCAAGAAGAAATACATCTAATACCAAGAAATATATCCCAAATCATATCTAGGAACTATACCTGTATTTCTTCTTCTGAAGTTGCCATATCATAGTTTCAGAAAGTTCAGTGGCATAGATTTCTTCAAAATGAGGGCTCATGATTTTTGTGACTTCTCCATCTCCAGCACCTAAATCAAGAAGTCTATGGGTTTTCCAGTCTGGATTAATTTTAAGTAGTCTCTGAAATTGATCTGGTGAAAACACAAACATTGAGCCTCTTCCTAGCAACCTGAAAAAAAAGGACAAAAATGACATGATAATCAGAAAATTCTAGAGCAAGAGATCATCTGAGGTCCAAGCTCATGAGATCGTCTGACTGGTCTACATTTAAAGGCACTAGAGAGGGGGGAAAGCACTGTCCTATTTTCAAAGAACATTATCAGCAAAGGCTCCACAAAATATTAACACCATCAAAAAATTAATAATCCGTTGAGCCCAGTGTTTATCAACCAGGACCAATTTTGCCCTCTAGGGAACAGTGGGAGTAGCTAGCAAAGTTTCGAGGAATCACAATGACTTAGGGGTGCTACTGTCATTTAGTAAGTTCGACTTCCTGCAATGTGGCAGTCCCACACAATAAAGAATGGTCCTACCTAAAATACTAAGATACTGACTTAGCCCAATACAAAGTTTCTGGTAAACACATACCATGGAGAGATATGACTCTCTAGTTTCTCTTTAACTTTAGTGTTTAATAATCATCCAAGGTTCTCTGGTCACAATCTAAGTTCTCTCTAGACAGAGTCCGTAGAGGATATGTGTCTCTTCTTTATAAAATAAACTCAAAAAACAGCTATCAAACCTCTCCTTACTTGTCCTTCTCCTTTCCAACACAAAGGAACTCGGATAAGCATCTTAAGTTAATTCAAGAAGGTACCATTGTAATTATTTCTGTAAGAGACATCCACTGTGGTAATAATCTACCACCACTGCCATGGTTGGAAAGTACCAAGGGCCAAAAATTAAGTTTTTAGCTGAGAACAGGACACAGGACAAGAAAGATTTGTGTGTGTGAAAGGGAGCTTAAAAGAAAAAAAGCAATCTTTCTTCTACCAAACTGTGAAATTTCAGAGCAGGGAATTTTAACTGTCACCTAAGAAATCCAAAAGCAGGGCAACCCCTTCGGAGTTTTTCTGTCCTCTCAATAAATCCTGCTTTAAAAAAAAGATATCCAGTCGGGCTCGGTGGCTCAGCCTGTAATCCCGTGCCTTGGGAGGCTGAGGTGAGTGGACTGCCTGAGCCTGCGGGTTCAAGACCCGCCTGGGCAACTTGGTGAGACCTCATCTCTACAATTAATCAAAAAATTAGCTGGGCGTGGTAGCGTGCGCCTGTAATTCCAGCTACTTGGAAGGCTGAAGTGGAAGGATCGCCGGAGCCCCAGCAGGTCAAGGCTGCAGTGGCCGGGAGCGGCCACTGCACTCCAGTCTGGGCGACAGAGTGAGACTCCAACTCAAAAAAAAATAAAAAATAAAATAAATTTTTAAATAAAATAAAATAAAGATATCCAAAAGCAAAACACTGAACCTAAGATTGCTAAATAATATAATTTCCAGCCAGGCTCGGTGGCTCAGCCTGTAATCCCACGCCTTTGGGAGGCTGAGGTGAGTGGATTGCCTGAGCCCGCGGGTTCGAGACCCGCCTGGGCAGGCGAGACATCATCTCTACAATAAATCAAAAAATCAGCCGGGTGTGGTAGCGCATGCCTATAATTC